TTGACGCCACACTTGTATTTCCAAATTTTCTTGTTTTCTCTGTTGGGGTTTCTAATACTTTCAAAATCAGATAAGGGACCTTTCATGGTGATTCCTCCACCTCAAAATATATCATTCTCAGAATTTCTTCTTAAATATTTCAAGTGGCCTTAATTCTATTTGCACATGCATAGATAAGTTAGCCAAAATGATTATCACAATATGAATCGGAAATATTTTCCTCTCAAGGAGTTACTATTAACAAAGTAAAACCAGTGTTGCTTTATCCATTCCTTTTCTTAATTTTTCAATCTTTTCTTTTAAAAGGTGCATTGTGTTTAGTGTCACACAAATATCTTTATCAACAATGTTTTTTTTAATCAAAATAATATACTAAACTTAATTTAATTTTAATGTCTAAATTTTATGTAAATATAGTTAATTTTTTACTGGTTACAATTTACTTTGCATGTGAACAAATTATGGATAAATATATTCCTTAATCAGCAACAATATTGAGCCTAATTTTATGACAGGGTTAGAAGAACTAAAGTTTCCTCGCAAATCTTAGAGGTCTGATAATGCCTATTATTAAGCTAAACTTAAGAAGATCTTATGAAGCAATATGACATATACCATGGAAGGCTTATAATAAAATATTAAAATCAGATAAATGAAAGTTTAAAACTCAATGTACAAGTGAGATAAGCAAGTTATGATTCTATATTCAACAAAGAAAAATATAGGATATTTTAAGAATTTAATTGGAATGCAATATTAGGCTTCGCACTCTCACTTAAACATAAATTATCATGTATAATCAGAACGTTGAACATTTTTTAACCAGAACAGATGAAGAATGTTTCAAGATTACTTTTGTAATATTTATTTAAAAAGACATGTTTACAATCGTTTATAATTCATTAATTGTATATATAGTTTATAATTTATTTGCTTATTTAACAAGCCTACAAGATTATTTGACTAGAACATAATCATTTAATAAATAAATTTATTTTGCTAAATTTCAACCATTTTCGACCAAGGTTTAAAATTGTGTTTGACCCCATCGTTAGTATTTTTTCATATATATATATATATATATATATATATATATATATATATATGAGTTTGCTAATGTGGACGCCTGTTTTTCAATTGGTACATTTTAGCAATGTGTACCGGGTTTTAGTAGACAAAAAAGAAATCTCAAAACAAAAAAAGAAATCCCCAAATCCTTACTCATTTCTCTCAACCCTTTCTCTTTCATCTCTCTTACTCCAACATTTTCTCTATCATCCCTATTGTAACCTCAATTGAAAAAATCAGAAACACTTGCCTAATTTTAATCCACCTTCCTCACTTATCCAATTTGTTTCTCTCTCATCTCCATACTCTCCCTCACCTAGACACAACAACCTGCGACATCGCAATTTGTTGCTCTTGCTCTGTTTGTTCATTTGTTTTTCACTTTAATAATAAAATAATTCATGATGTTGATGTTGATTTTTGATTGGAGGACTGTGTTATATATTTTTCCTTCTTCTTATTATTAAATTTCATTTTTAAATTTTAGAATTAATAGTTTATTTTGAGGAAATTTGATATTTTGACTATTAAGTTGTTTGAAAATATTGCATATCACATAAATAAAGAAACTACATATTTATTCATTTGCAAAACACACTATTACTTTTTAAATTGATAACCATTTTTTTATTATAAACCCTAAATTTAATTGTATGCACTATTACTCAGGTTATAAGAAAATATTATAGAAAAATATTGGCGTTTGTGTGAGACTGAGAAGAAGGGTTGCATTTTCGGATCATTCAGAGGAGGAGAGGCTGAGTTTCTGGAAGGTTCCTGGTGCGAAGGAGGTCGTCGAGCGTGGATGAAATATTAAAACTAAAAAAAAAATTGATATAAAGTTTATGCATAGTTAAACACACATAGCAAAATCTTCTTATTATTGGAAGTAGCAAAACATGGCTGTCACCGTCCAGATGGATTATTCTGGTCGGTGTATGAAGGGTGCATTTCTGGCTACGATAATTGCGTTAAATGGTGTTAGTAATTTCAAAATGCTGAGAAAATGCTATAGGATAATAGAGAAAATGTTGGAGTGAGAGAGATCAAAGAGAGAAATAAGGGAGGTGAGCAAGAGTTTGGGGGTTTCTTGTTTTTTTTTTTTAAGAATGAAAATTATTAAAATACCTTTAACCTTAAAACTTAGAATCCATGATATATAATGGTATTTTTGTCTACTAAAACCCGATACACATTGTTAAAATGTATCAATTGAAAAACAGGCGTAGCAAACCCCGCATATATATATATATATATATTTCACATTTGGTTTAATAATTGATACTGCAAAACAATATAATAAATCTATTCAACAATTTTTACTAAAAGTTATTTTTTAAAAAGAAACATTTAATTAATTTATTAGGTAAATATCAAGAATATGAATGTGTGTGCACGTTTGTGATTAACATGAGTACAAGAACGTACACATTAAACGATTTTTCATAATGACGATGAAAGTAATTGTGATATTATTTTAGTTTAATTCTTGGATGATTTTCGTGTTTGTTTGAGAATTTTTCATAATAACGATGAAAGTAATTGTGATATTATTTTAGTTTAATTCTTGGATGATTTTCGTGTTTGTTGAAAAATCTCAAGTGAGTTCTATTGTTGAAAACAATTTTAATTATTTTAGTTTAATTCTTGGATGATCTTCGTGTTTGTTGAGAAATCTCAAGTGAGTCCTATTGTTGAAAACAGTTTCAATTGAGTCTTAAATTTTGTAAAATTGTAGCAATTAAATTATGTTGAAAACAGTTTCAGTTATTTTAGTTTAATTCTTGGATGATCTTCGTGTTTGTTGAGAAATCTCAAGTGAGTCCTATTGTTGAAAACAGTTTCAATTGAGTCTTAAATTTTGTAAAATTGTAGCAATTAAATTAAATCATTTCCCTTAAATGACCAGAAGCGTCATGAGATGCTGACGTGATATGTAGATGCTAATGGCTTTATTATGTGACATTATTATTTAAATTAAGAAGGTATATTACTTTTTCACATGACAAAATGTAATTGGTCATTGTAGTTAAAATAATAGATTAGGAATTTTCTTAACTTTTGATTAGGGATTTCTGAGAAGAGTTGGATTTAGAGAAAGAAGAATTTCAAAAGGGAATTAGGGATTTATAAGAAGAGTTGAGTTTAGAGAAAAAGGATTTCAAAAGGGAATTAGGGATTTGAATACCATTAGGGATTTCTGAGAAGAGTTGGGAAATTTAAATTTTAACTTGTAATTCTCCATCCAAATTAGGGTTCTGGATGACTTGTAATTCAAATATCCAACTTTCAAGATCGAAATACAAGAACAAAACTAAATCATAACTCAAATCGATACAACCACTCTTCTCGGCTCATCTTGCAATGAATGAGAAACCTATATATCAAGTCCCAAGACAAAATGCGAACTCTCCAAATAACTGCAAGAACGAGGACAACACACTCCCAGCACCACTCACATAGAAACAATCAAACACAAAACAACCCAATCAAAATAAGGAAAGGACGAGAGAATGAAACTTTGTCCTTCGCTGCGAATCAGAACGAAGAGAAGAACAAGAACAAGAACAACCATCGCGCCCTTGCACTCTGTCGCGCCTCCGTTGTGCCATTAATGATCCCTTCGGGTTGGTTGTCTGCGCGCAAATGAGACGAAAGAAACTTAAAGCTTCTAGGTTTCCTCGAGATAAAAGGAAAAGGGAAAAGAAGAAGGGTGCTCTCATAATCACCTCTCACGCGACGAAGAAAACCCTAGGCTAGGTTGGATGCGTGAACCTGAAGCAAAGAAGAGGAAGGAAGAAGAATAATTCCTTGCTAGTAAACCAAAAACGAAAAAGAGGAAGGAGTAGAATGTTGTCCTTGCGCGAGACGAGGAACCCTTTGATGTTGACCACTTAACAGAAAAAACTTTATTATTACGATTTTATCAAATTTAGGATCCAATAAAGACCGTTTTCAACAAGAGAACTTACTTGAGATTTTTCAATAAGTACGAGAATCATACAAGGGTTTATACCTATTATTTTTATTATATTATTCATGTTTTACATTCTATAACATTTTTTGAATTATTGAAAACAATTATGGAATCTACAATTGGAATCACACACCCACTCCTAAATTTTACCCAACTACATTTTTCAATTGTTGCTTGTACAACCTGACCTAAGTGAAATAGATTTTGTTTAACTTGTCTCACATACTCTTTAAGAGAGGTAATCAAATTTTAGTTTCTTGACAATTTTTAAATTTTAGCTCTTATCTTTAATTATTGAACTATTGGTTTACATATAGATCTATTTTAGATATCGAAACATTAAATCTTATGTTGGAAGGAAAATTTTAAGATTAAGAAACATTCCAAGATAGTTAAACCATTAAAAAATTGCATGTATACATTCTTTACAATTTAGGCAGACAGACTTAGACTGTATTGTTTGCATCCTTTTAGCTTTTGAGTATCTAAATTCACATTTGGATTTTGTACACACTATTTGGTTCATCAGGCAATAAATTTTACATGAACTAGACAGACTTTATTTTTATTGTTTTGGCGACAATATGCAATTATAGTTGTGAAGAATGATAAAAAGAATATTATGCCTCTGTTTTTACCATTTTACATTTGCATACATCATAATTCTTTACTTTAAATATTATTGGGTTTATTCATCTATAGACGCATGAAAATTGTAACTGTATAGAAAATTGTAACTGTATATTTCTAAGCTCGATGGAGAATATGCAACTGTAACAGTGGAACTATTTTGCACTACCATTGTTCTGAGCAATGAAAATGATGAGAAAAATATGATATGCTCAAATAACAATCGTTGATCATGCCTCAATTTCTAATAATAACTTCGTATTAAACTCTTGCTTACATGATATATTCTACCATTGTTCTGGGCAACAATGAGAAAAAAATGATATGCTCAAATAATAATTATTGATCATGCCTCAATTTCTAATAATACAACTTCATGATAAACTCTTGCTTACATGGTGGGGAACAAGGTCGGAATCCAAAGTACACAACAAACATACAAAAGGACTTGGGTTGTATAAAGCAGCCATAGAAACATGGAACAAAAACATCAGGATTTACAGAATGCACGAAGCGTATCATCTAGGGCCTTTCTGTCATAATCCCCTGTGAATACACAATTACCAAGAGGACCCTTTAGAAGAATAAGCCTGAGCAACCCATCTGCTACCTTCTTATCAACCTGATATACCAAAATAAATTAAGTAAAAAGCTCTCTGATAAGAACAAATTGAATGTTAAAAGGGTAGCCACCATCAGCTCTTACCGCCATGACAGATTTAAACATGTCCACAGTCATTATCTCAGGAGGGGCCGTGGGTAACTTAGACTGTTTTAAAATGTCTCCAACTCGTTTTACAAGAGATTCATCAATCCAACCAAGGCGATATGACATGTCAACAGCCATTACCTGTGTGCATTCGAATACAGATTCCTCAATATAAACCTCCTTTAGTATTAATCACGAATATAAGTAAAATTCATGATATCATTTTGTCAAAAAAAAAAAACAAAAAATACCGTGCCGGCTGCAACAGCCTCTCCATGAAGCCACTGCCCATAGCCAACCCCATTTTCTATAGCCTAAAATAAGAATGGGAAAAATAGTTAAAATCAGAGGTTACAGAAACAACATTTTGGGAATAGAAAATAAACATAGTTATGTTTTAACCATTATATTTTAAAATCTATAGTGTGTAACATTCTTCATGTTCTATCCTTAGTGTGTAACATTTAATGTCATGATTGCACAGAAAATAAACATAGTTATGTTTTAACCATTATATTTTAAAATCTATATAGTGAGTAACATTCTTCATGTTCTATCCTTAGTAAAAACTTAAATTCCTTGTTTGAAACAACTGGACTTATCGATTTGGAACATTGTACACCATCTGAATAGGTAAAATTTTCCCAAAGAACACGTGTTCATTTATTTATTCTTTTCTCACTATTTTTACAGTTTTAGAATTGCTTATCAACACATTAATTTATAACCCCGGTCATAAATATTGTCAGGAGTGTAAAAAAACCTACGGAAAATTTTTACAACCAAAAATAAAGATAATATCAGTCACGGACAGTCACTCACATGACCAAATGTATGACCCAAGTTCAATGTTGCCCTCAGTCCACTTTCCTTCTCATCTAAGGACACAACCTCAGCCTTGTTTTCACAAGATCGCTTTATAGCATATGCCAATGCACTAGGATCTCTGCAGTGGATGACATTAACTTGTAAAAAATGGAATAAAAGAAGGGCACTATGAAAGCAGTTACACAACATTTAGATAAAAGAAATAGATCAACGCAACAAGAAAATATGAGACACCAATAAGCTATGATGCACAGGTAATCCAAAAACAGTATAATAAGACTAGCATAAGGAGGTAAGGCCTGGACAACAGTAGTGGGCAGGACTGCACGTTTAAGGAGAGATACATGAAAAACCAGATGGATTCTGCTATGAGCAGGTAGATCCAATTTGTATGCTACTGATCCCATTCACGCCATGATTTTGTAAGGTCCATAGAACCTAGGAATGAGCTTCTCATTAGGCTTTCTTGCCAAGGATTTCAATCTTTTGGCTGTAACTTTAGATACACCCAATCCCCTATCTGATACTCCACATCTCTCCTGTGTTTGTTAGCTTGCACCCTATTCTAATTATAGGCTTTACATAAATTCAGTTCAACTCCTGTAATATTGCATCCTGTTCCTGCTGAAGTTGATTAATACTTTCCACTTTAGATGGAATAGTATTACCCTTCAAAAGTAATGGATGATCATGGCCATATAGAGCTTTAAAAGGAGACATTTTTGTAGAAGCACTATAGTTGGTATTAAACCAAAATTCTGCCCATGACAACCATTGTGGCCATTTTCGAGGCTGAGAGCCTGTCATACAGTGTAAATAGGTCTCCAAACAGTGGTTCACCACCTTTGTTTGGCCATCCAATTGAGGGTGATTCACCAAACAAGGCTTGGCTCTAAAAAAGTAAGGGGTCTACCCTCCTGTAGCAACACAATCCCCAATCCCTTGCTAGATGCATCAGTTTCCAAGGTAAAAAGGTTTAGTAAAATCTGGTACTGCTAACACAGGTAGTTGAGAAACAACCCCCTTAACAGCCTCAAATGCCTACTGCACCTCTACAGACCACAAAAAACCCTCCTTATTCAGCAACTATGTAAGAGGTTTGGCAATCTTACCATACTCCTGTACAAATCTTCTATAATACCTAGTTAATCCCAAAAATCCCCTCAAAGCCTTTGCATCTTTGGGAACCGGCCAATTCCACATAACTTCTATCTTTTTTGGGTCTGTAGCCACCCCATCCATCAAGATTATATGACCCCGATACTCCAAACGTGGCTGCCCGAAACTACAGTTCTTTTGGTTAAGTTTCAAATTATTCTGTGGCAGCACCTGTAAAACTTGCTTCAGATATTCCACATGTGTAGCCATAGTGGGACTGTACACCAATGTCATCAAAGAAGACAAGCACCAACTTCCTTAAAAATGGCTTCAAAATATCATTCATTAATGACTAAAAAGTGACTGGAGCATTAGTCAACCCAAATGGGACGACTAAAAACTCATAATGGCCATCATGGGTTCTAAAAGCAGTCTTCTCAACCTCACTTTCTTTCATGAGAATCTGATGATATCTTGACTTTCAATCCAGCTTGGAAAACATAGTTGCTCCCGATAACTCATCCAGTAGTTCTTCTATTACAGGAATAGGAAACTTGTTGGGAATGGTTATCTTATTGAGAGCCCGATAGTCCACACAAAATTGCCATCCTTCATCTTTCTTTTTGACCAATATGATAGGACTTGAGTAGGGGCTGATGCTGGGCCTTATAATTCCAGCTTGTAACATCTCATTAACTAGACTCTCTATTTCATTTATCTGTTGACGAGAGTACTTGCAGGGCCTAATATTAGGAATGGCAACCCCTTCGTGAAGATGGATTGCATGATCATAATTGCATCTGGGAGCTAGTCCCACTGGATCCTGAAAAACGTCATCATTCATCTTCAAAGCCTCCAAAATTGCTGTAGGCACATGACTACAATCTGTCTCTTTCTCTGGACCCCATTTTATCAAAAACATGATCCTTCTTGTTTCAATTCATGCAATACCCCTTTCAGAGAAGACTCTGATTTAGATAGAGTGGGATCACCTACTAAAATTTGCTCCTTTCCATCCTTACCAATGATCAGCCTTAACTTTCCAAAATCAGCACTGACTTCCCCAAGGCTTGTTAACCAGTCCAGCCCCAGAACAATATCAGCACCACCAACAGTCAAAACAAAAAATTCCTGTTGAATTTTCGGGCCCTATTAATCCAAAATGAACCCATGATGCTTTCCTTGGGATACTTTTTTCCAGCAAAAAAAGAAAACATATTTAACATAAATTCCCCAGAAAATTAGCTATTATAACCTATGAGATGTTTCACGTATCATTACAAGCTTCATAATGAAAATAGAATAGAACACAGTACTTAGTTAAAAATTTACCTAGCCAGTAATGCCTGCATATTTTTCTCTTGCCACTCAAAAAACTCTGCATCCCTAATGAGGCCATACTTTATGACCTCAGCAAGCCCTGATGCCAGTTCCCTATCTGGTAATGTATTCAACGTGTCTGTGTCTATAAGCACACACTGAGGTTGGTAAAAAGCACCGATCAGATTCTTTCCAAGGCGATGATTTATCCCAGTTTTGCCACCAACTGAAGAATCAACCTGGAAACATAATACACAACCCAGTGAACAAGGGAATGAGATAACATAGATAGTGGAGATTAGAACCCATCAACATTAAAGAAATTTCAAGTGCACAAAAGACCTGAGCCATCACTGTGGTAGGAATCTGAATAAAATTAACACCACGTAGGAATGCAGAGGCAGCAAAGCCACACATATCACCAATAACACCACCACCAAGGGCAACAAATGTACACCGTCGATCGAGTCGTGACTCAATGGCCTTGTCAAAGACTTTCATAAGAGTATCCTATCAGTTGAACACAACAACATTTCTTATGCAATTACCAAAATTGGCAACAAACACCACAGCCAATTCTTACGCACTAGACTTACCATGTCTTTGTACTGCTCACCGTCAGGTAAAATTACACTCTCCACAGAAACATTTGGGTTTCCCCTTGTCAAAGCATCAACAACCTTGTCTAAATAAAGTGGTGCAACCGTTTTGTTGGTTACAACTAGGACCCTCTTTCCATGCACATGCCTAATACAACAGTGGGAAAAGAACACTTCAGAATATATTAAACAAGAAAAAAAATCCACGTCTTATTCGACACTTCAAGGTTTAATTAGCCATTTCGTCCTTTACATTTCAGTCTCTCTATAAAAAAAAATTCTAAATTTTAATCTCTACACAATCAATTTTTTCTTTTTATGTTTAAGTCCCTGTTAGTATTCTGGAGGTGTAAGACCATCACAACATAACGGTATAAACACTAAAACATAAACTAATAGTTGAAATAGAGAAATGGAAAAGTAAAGGAAAAAAAAATGATTAAATAGACCGAAGACCGAACTTTCATTGTTGGAAGTAAGACACAACACAATATATTACACATTGCACAATTAATTGAAAATTGAGAAAGTGAAAAACAAAACACACACACACACGTACTGGAAACACTTTAGGAAAAATTAAACAGAAAGTGAATTGACTAAGGAAGTATTACAATTACCTCTGAAGATAGTCGGGTTGGTCTAGTAACCCGGATCCGATGTAAATGGGATAGCTCCGATTACCCAAATCAACTTCGACGGTGGTGGGAAGGGTGGGTTCGGATTTCGCAGCGGAGGGATCCATGACTCGGGACGAGGTGGCGCATATCCTTGAGTTGCGAGCGGTCGAAACAGAGTGTGAAGGAAATTTATTAGATTTGAAGCGCAAATGGTTGTTCTTGCTGGTGGAATAGAAGAAGAAGGAGGGCTTAGAGATTGGAATTTGCTGTTTGGTGCGGAGAGAAAGAGAGAAATTGGTGGCTGCTGAAGCCATTTGGGAATGAGGAATTGAATGGGTTGGTGAGTGAAGAAGACAACAACAATAACATGCTTTCTCTTCAACACAAACACCATTTCAGGGGTAGGTGAAACCTTTTCAAGTGTTTGTTTGGTAGAGATCAAAATAAAGTATATTGTTTTTTTTTAAAATAAATAAATTAAGCCAAAAACTTCTTAGGACAATGATACATTTCACAACATTTTACAGTATTTTAACATCGTGTTATTAAATTGATTAATTTAAAATTATTATCAATAATCATGACACCTAAATAATATTAAAATATTATTATCTTAATAATTAATAATTTAGAATACATTTAATAGTCAGCATATTGAGAAAAAAATGTGTTAATATTCATTTTGGCCTTAGAATGAATACGAAACATATTTTGCTATACAAAGATATATGTGCTTATATCTATTTAAATTTTCGTTTTGTGAAATAGTATTAAAAATTATGTGAAATTATTTTTAAAAATTATTTAATTCTTTTAAAATAAAAGAACTATTCAATTATTAATTTTATTAAATAAATAAATTATTCTGTTTACTTATTGAAAGGTAAAACTGTTCATAGTCACAAAGGGTATCATGAAGTTTTGGATATAAGTTATTAATTTAGATTTACTAATTTTATACAATAAACATTTTAATAAATTGTAACTTCAGCTAAAAAAAAAATGTGAAATGGATAATCTAAAATATTTTTTATAACTAAAAGTAATCAACAAGCGTTTACTTTGGCAAACCTTGATTAAAATTTTGTTCTTAGGCAGACTAGGTTGTTGTCAGTATTCTCTGTTCTTCTTCCCCTGTTTCAAGGATTAAAATTGTGTAATCTCATCGAAGGATCAACCTTCTCTGGAGAGATCTGGTTTTTTCAAGGTAAATTTTCCTTCTCTCCTCTGCTTTAGGGTTTTCAAAAAGGTTTAACAAAATTCAATTACAGAATCTACAATTGAATCGCAACATAAAAGGCCTAAACTGAGATACATCTGTTTTTCTGATTCTGAATGAAATAAATTTTATACCTTTACCCTTTTATGCTGTTTGGCAAGCTTGCTATCGCACAGTGGATCGTACTTATTTTTGGGTCTTCTAGGATTTGTGTCCTCCTCTTACCAAAATGTGTGCTTACAATGCTGCCCATTTCATCAGTACAAACCATTCTCAATCGTAATTGGGTTGGTTATGCATTTTCTTTATTATGCATTTTTAATTATTGCTAGTTATATTCAACTAAAATCTTAAAGTCCAGAAGATATAATTCACAATTTGTTTGGAATTGTGTCAAAGACCCACATTTCCGCTAAAATTACAGTGTGTTTACTGCGTTGCATCGGGTTACATGAATCTCATAAATTCAATGTCAAAACAATGAAAGAAGCTTCTTCCATTTGCTACAGAATTGACTCATGTCCTTCGCTTGAGGAGGGAAATCAAACGGGAACAATGTGTGGCGTATGATTGGATGTCCTTTCTTGCAGTGTGAATGCAGTTCTAAATACCTACTCACTCTTGTTATGTGTACTGTGTTGTCACTTTATCAAACACTTATGTACAGTAAACTATAGATGGCAGGCCAATTTACGAGATCAAGAAGACTAGAAACTCAGCAGCAGGAACAGTCGAGGGCTAGGTGGACAACATCACTAACAAAGATACTTGCCACACTTATGGTTGACCAAGTACATAAAGGGAATAAACATAACAATTTATTCAATAAGAAAGCATGGAAATATATTTGTGATGAGTTTTACAGCAAAACAGGTCTGAAATGGGACAAGGAACAGCTCAAAAACCGATATTCCGTCTTGAGGCGGCAGTATTCTATTGTAAAGTCCATTCTTGATCAAAGTGACTTTAGTTGGGATGAATCCACAGGATCTATAACAGCTAATGATGAAATTTGGGCGGAATACATCAAGGTATTTTCCTTCATCTTTTGTTTTGTTATTGACAAACATCAAAATATGGTGGTGCTGCTAAAAGAAGAAACTTTGAACATAGGTTCATTTTGTATACTGTTTGGTTTAAAGAAAGGGAGTAGAGGGGTGGGATTTATTGTATGGTCTAGGACCATGTGCCATGGTTTTGATCAATCTTCATGTGACACATTTGAGTTTTATTAATTCTTTCGTAAATTGAAAAACTTGGCTGCATGTTATAGAGAGATTGGCTGAGACAATGGATACGTGGCAGTTTTAAACTATAGAGTAATTTCTCGTGGAGGAACAACTTTTTTGATTTATAAGAGAAGGAGAGGGAAACTAAAATAATTTACTATTATGATGGTTCAAAATGGATGGAAAGTTCTTTGAATTGAGACAAACACACTACTCACTATTAGATCCTTTTCTGACAGCTCAATTGTTCCTTGGAGGCTAAGAAACAGATGGAACAATGCTTTAGAGTATATTAAGAATATGCGTTTCAGACTTTTTGATGGGTTCTTGTGATCAAGAACCTATGGAAAAAACACTCGAGAACACACAAAGACAAGTTCTCTTAATTATACAGCCTCCTTTTATTGAAAAGAATCAGCAAGAATGGTGTTACAACGTAACCCGAGAGCTTAACCTCTCTCCAAAGAACTACAAGAGTTCCCGCAAAACAATAATACTCCAAAACTAATCCCAACCAACCACTAATCCCCCTTTTATATCACTTACTAACAGCACTAACAGAAACTATTCCTAACTGCCTTGGCAGTTAGGCTATGTGACTTTACCCCTCCTCCTATATACAATTAACTCCCTAACACTTTTGCTCAATTTTAGGAAGGGAAATAGGTTTGCTGATAACCTAGCTAATTATAGTGTACCTCCATGTATTGCGTATTACTTTTGTTGTGATAGATGCAGTCTTCCACATTTTATATTTTTTTAGTGGTTTTGGTTTGGTCCCCCACTTTTGTATTTCTTCCTTTTTTTAATGTATTAAAATGCTGTAAATGATTGATATACTAACTTAGATAGGATTGCAATCTATATACTGATGCAATAGCATTCTTTTCTTTGATTAAAAAGAAGTACTCTTATGGTAGATAAATAAAGTAATTAATATCAAGTATTCACCGAGATGGTTTAGCTCAATTGGTTGAGTAGTGTGAGTTCCTGTAAACCTCTTGGTATTCAAATTTCTATGATAGAAAAGAACTGTAACTGAAATGTTCATGTTAAGGATAATTTAATTAGCATGGTTTATAAACATTAGAGGGGTGACAGAAACAAGGAGGTGAGGGGATTTTCCTTCTCTTATCCCTTCCAGTTATTTGAACCAAACACGCTCTTAATGAGTTTCAACATTCAATAATGCTTTGTATGAAAAATCTGTTTCCGATTTTTTTTTCCTACCAAGGTGAAGATAGAGTTTTGTATGGATAGCTCATCTGAATTAATTTTAAATTCTCCGAAAGTTTGATATTCATTGTAATGATAAAATATGGAATAAGTAATGTTAACAACTTGAAAATGTTGTGGCATAATTTCTCTCTCAATTGAAACCCGGTTGCTTTTTTATGAATGCTAACAATGCATTCTTTATTGTAGGGTGAAATATTAAAATCCATGTGGAATTCACAAATCATGTTTGGTGAAAAAAAAAACATTAGTTTTCTAAAATAAGTTTAACTAAATACACAATAATAGAAAATGAGGCTAACTTGGATTTCACGAGGATGTTTAAAAGAATGTGTTTATATTGCCATCATTTTTTGTAGTTTCTATTATAGCCTGCAGCATCTTTTCTCTGCATAGAGGTTCCATGAACACAGGCATGTGTTCTATAAAATAATATTTGATTAACTCGTAGAGATTGCAGAAACATCCAGATGCTGAGACTGTCAAAACCGGTGGGTGCCCAATCTTTAAAGAACTTTTTACAATATTCTCTGAGCCAGCAACCAATGGCAAACATGAATATGTAGCTGCATCTGAGGGTGAACATACTTCTGTAACTCCTTGTCTAGAGCCATTGAACACACACCACGAAGAATCCTCATCAGAATCCCAGGACGAGGAGGAGGCTAATGATCCTCAAACAGTTCAACCTACTACACCTACTGGAATTTCTAAGCGCAAAAGAGGGCGTAAAGGAATTGATGAAGCTATTGCAGATGCCATATTTGAGATGGCGTCTGCTTCAAAGATGAGGGCAGCTGCCATAGAGCAACAAATTGCTAGATTTAGCATGGCTGACTGTATTAGGGACTTAGATCTGATGGAAGGTGTTGATCAACATCTATATTTTGCTGCTGTTGATCTGTTCAACAAACCTAATGCTAGGGAGATATTTTTGTCCCTCAAAAAGGATAAACGTTTAACTTGGTTGCGTGGTAAGTGTTCTGTTGCATCCAATTTATCTTGTGCAGAATGAAAAAAGAGAAGAAAAAAATCTCTTTTAGTCAGCGTTTGACTACATAATCTCATTCATACCACTTTACTTCCGGAATTGTTAATGTTAAAACCAGTATTAATGTTTGCACGATACGTATGATGTTTTCAAAACTTTTAAATTGGACCATTGAACTTGAAAAAAGTTGTTCATAATTATTTCATTTCCAAAACCAATGTATATTTCTCATATACAAGTCTTTTTACAAATTATAACTTTATTTTTGAAATTGTAGTTTGTATAAGTTGGGAAATATAATAATTAAAAATGTATTTAATATATCAAGTCTCATCAAAATTATTTAAAAGTTTAGATGAGTGTGCTAAGATATCTTACATTATTTGAACAGATTTTATCTTGGTGAATTGATTTTGATGGTTTCTTAATAGTTTGATGGGTCAAACGTTGGTAGTACAATTTTAAATGTATGCCACCAAATCCACAGTATCAGCTGAACAACATATTAAGCACAGTTCAGATTAAATCTGACAAGCGCAGAACTAACTACCACATCCACTAACAAACGGAACATTACATTCAGCATTTCCTAAATATAATTATTAAAAAACCCTTCTGAATATAATTCAAATTTTCGGTGATTCCAATGTAGAAGGATTCTATGAGAAGGAGAAAAAAAATATAGAAGTGTTTTATACTATAGAGTTCAGTCTGCAGTCCTCGTACCAAATTAAATTCAATTCCGCACATAATTGTTGCAGGAAACGTGACAGGAGCAGTGATTCTGTTTTTTTGTTGAATGCATAGACAAGACACTTTCCCAAAGTTAAGAAGAAGAATCAAACCTTAAAAAAAAGGTACAACTTGGCAACAAAATTCTGGGTGTTCAAATCCTCAATTTTTCTGGACTATATATATTATCATATTAACAGTACACAATGAAACCAAGTAAAACCCATCGTAATAAATGCTTGCGGAATGAGGAATCTACACCAAAGTATGAGGTATCATGATTCATGATATCAGCTGGTGTAAACGCAATGTGATGATACGGGCAAGGGTGATAATCACATTCACTGTACACAACATATGAGCTAGAATTCTCCTACGGCAATATTCTCTTCACGTCATGCTCCTGTTCAGCAACTTTGGCTTTGTTGTATACAGACTCAAAAACCTCCATGCACACACTTGAAAACCCCACAATCCCTTGAAACACATGCGGGCAACCCATTTGCAAGTTGTTCAGCGTCATTGCCCTAGTTACACTCACTGCCTTCTCGTATTTGTTCTTCTCTTCTTCTGCCTTTGCTCTCAAAGCTTCCACCTTGCCACGCTTCTCGCTCACCGAGTCCTTGTTTCGCATGGAAATAGAGGATTCTGGCATGGAGTACGGACCATACTTGCACTCCAAAGACCGAAGCTGAACCACCTTCTTCTCGAGCTCTTTGAACGCACAATCTGACTTCTTCTTTTGTTTATACTCTTCTGCCTGTTGCTCTACTATGGCATGAATAACCGTTAACAAGCTTTTTATTCCTTCGGATGCTACATTGTCTGGGATGCGATCAACAGCAAGGTGCCATTCTTCACACAGGGAGTATATCTTTGACTCCTCCGGGGTTCTGCTTAGAGGGTTTTTGCTGAACTGGAAAAGGGTGAGCCTTAGCCAACCTGTGAGGGATTGGATGTAATCGCGGTGAGCCTTGAAGAGGTTGCAGAAAGATTGGTGCCATTGCTGTACTTCAAGCTCCAGCTGAAGAGTTGATTGCCTGTGAATCTCAGAAGTGGGGTTGTTTGATGGTACGGTGTTGAGGTACTCTAGCTGCTGAACTATGTGCTTTTGAACTTGATGACACTCGTACATGCTTCGCCACATGCACATTAATCTGCCAACATAGCAAACACAATGCTGAGAAAGGCTTCTTATTCTGATAAACTTCACTAGTAACAATCATAGGCGAAGATAATTTTAGTTTCTACAGCAATTAAAAAGAGAGTTTCTATAAAAATGAAGTACATACTTTTTTCTCTAATACATGTTTTTGATTGTTGAATGTTGCATTGTAATGTCAGTTATGTCACTGTTGATAGAAATCCTAGCAGGCAGGGATAGTGCTACACATTCTGTTGGCAAATCAGAACCAACAGTGTTTGTGCCAGGTCAACAACCATTCAGTAATGAAAGCAAACAAAATGGCGATGGATGATTTGTATTTTGGATCGTTTGACAAGGGTTAACAGTTTTGCCAGTTCCCAGCAGAGAGTATACCTCAATTTCAACCTATCTCGAATTTGTGTTGTTTGTACAAGTTGCCAAAGTAAAAAGGATATCATGATTTATGAACAGAAAACCCAGAAGAATCATCATGCGGGGACCATAACATCCCATCCAGTGGTACATAATCATTCCAATTGAAAGTCATGTGAGAAATTATATGGTACAAAGTACGCCACAATAATGTCTAGTCCAAGATATGTATAGGGGGGTTTTGGAAGCGATAAGCACCGATCCAAAGGAAACACCCAGGATAAAAATGAGATTTTGGGTCGTACGAATTGTACTCGTCTCAGTCAAGGGCAAAACTACATCAGTGAAAACTATAAAGCAGTCAAAAGCAATATTTTCTACTGTCACTGATGCTACGCCTACGTATGTATATATTCTGACTCAATTTGTACCCGAGTCCCTTGAGGGAAAAGGGTGCTCCCATGGCTTATGCATGCCTCTTCGCTTTTCCCATTCCCACCGGCAAGCTAAGACCCCAAAAGGGTCCCTCCCAACAGAACAAAATTGCTTCCCTTGCTTTAAGATTCAGTATCTTATTTGCTACTATGCTACTATGCTACTATACTACTGTTTTTTACTGTTGCAGGATAGCTTTTTCCTTTAGCTCGTAACCAATTCATTTGTGACACGAAGTTATGCATAAAAATAAAGAGGATTCTCAAATGAGAGACTTACCCTTTGAGAAGCTCAATGAGTTGAGGGTACAGCTCCATCTCCCTCAGTTTGATTATTTCAGCAGATGTACTATCAATGGCCTGAGAAGCAACCATCATTTGTGATTCTAACTTCTCCACTTCTTTCTTTGTCTTCTCTGCCTTCACATAGTCAGCTCTCTTCATCTCCACCTTCCTTAGCAGTGCCAGTTTCTTCTCATGCTCCATCTTTATAGTCTTAGCATTCTTTAACCAACCAAAGCAAATATTAAAAAAGTTAAACAACGATTAATGGGAATTGTCAAATTATCTATGAATCTGATGAAAAAGTCGGATTCCTCCTCAAGTGATTTGGAGGGACTACAAACGGGAGAGAAGGAAAATGAAATATTGAACAATAACCAAGCACATGAACACATGACCACCAGTGGAAAACCATAGCATCAATAGAATATTAGTTGTAAAGAACAAGATTTCTTCACCAGACCCGCATCAAATCTTATGTCCACAAAAGGAAATAACCTATAACCTTTCCCTTTTCTTTTTCTTTTATTATTACCATCAAAGGGGAAGCTCAGCAAAAAAGTAACACACCTTGACCTCTTGATACAACTTCTTCTCCCATGCATATAGCCTCTCCACAGTGGACCCGTGCCCAACACTTCCACCTCCATTAGCCCCAAAAGTACCAACAGAAACGGGAGTTCCCTCAGCCAGTTTTCCAAACCCATTCAGCTTCGGACTCGAACCCCAAGTCCACAAGGACGGACTCAAATTCCACCCATAGCTGTGCACTTTACCTACCACCACCAAGTGAAAACATAACCCTTCAGAATCCAAAATGCTGAAGAAAAACAAAAACTTGAACTACATAGAGAAGTCAAACTAAAACCATAAACAAAGGGGTTAATTCAACATGCAAGGGGTTCATTTCCAGTTACCACAAGCAAATCTCAAGAGATTCACACTCCAGAAAAGGAGTTAACACTTAAGACTCCTAAAATTGTCACATGCAATGATGAAAATGAGGCTTACACGCTTTACTGTTATCAGAAAATCCAGAGTTTGAAACTTCAAGGATCAAAGAAACATGAGAACCAGCATCAGCAGCTTTGAGAAAATAATCATCGAGCTCTTTGATAACTTCGACAAGATCCTTGGTACTATTCCTTGAAACAACCATTGCAAGCTCACTAGGTGTCTCCTTGGAAAACCCGCTCACCACTGACGGCGGTGCCGTCACGCTCGCCGCCGCCATCACTACCACTTCTGATCCGGTGGTTGTTGTAGCCTCCCACTCCTCCTCCGTCACTGACCGGGAAGCCATCGCCGGCGCAGCCGGCATAAACGGGTCCCAGAAGTCCCAGGCGGAGGAAGGAACCGGAGGCGGCGGTGGAGGCGGCGGGGGAAGAGCCGGGGAGGAGGTAGAGTCCGAAGTCCACGTGTAAGAGCTCAGACTCATCGGAGGCGGAGGAGGTGGCGGCGGCATCGGGGTGGGAGTTCGCGGCGGCGGCGGCGGGAGAATGGGCTGAGGGCGCGGCGGAAGGTGGTGATGGTGATGGTTGAGGTGGTGGAGAACCGTGGTTTCAGCATTTGCGAACTGAAAGAGTGCTGAACCAGTGGCACGAAGCGAACGAATGTACATAGCATGTGCCGCAGAAAAAGCATGTCTGGCTTGCACGAACTGCTTCATGTAACGCTTCCTGGATTTGCAACGCGACACCGTTTCTTCCCTTTCTATCCTCGACTGGCAGCAACCCATCTCCTCCTTTAGCTCTTCAGTGAAGGGAACGAGTAAAGGTTGGTTTGTGTGTGGTCAAAAAATTGGGGTGGTGGTGGTGCTTCTGCAAAAGTTGGCTATTTTAATGGCTGCAACTCTGGCTTTGGGTGGGAAGTGCCAAAGGTACTTTATTTTTGGGTCAAAACTAAAGAACCTCCATTTAAAGGCATTCCTCTCTGGGACACTTGAACTTGCTTCAGAATCTAAAGTAGAGAAGAGAGATAATGCAGTTTAGGAATGTGGTTGTGTTCAGAATGCTGCATTTGGTTTTCTCTCTCTATACTATAGTGGGGTGGAGGAGGAGCAACAAT